TTATACACATTAAAAATATGGCTGAATTCTGTACTGGGTGATATGCAAGAGATTAAGGTCACTGGTCTCAGTAAGCACATTGCAAAAAATTGCTACTAGACTCCCTATCCATAGACAATTTGGTTATGTGTGCTAAAACATGAGTTGCCAGATGGAAGTAAAGACAATTCCACTAATTGCACATTTGCATAGCCAAAGCAGCCAAGTTCTTTCAACCCGATAAGAAAGGGCTATTATATGGCAGGATGGAAAAATATTTGTCCACACAAAACTGATTGCCCCAATCACCTGAATATCATTCATTTAAAGAGACTAGTTAACTAAGTCATGCTCTTAAAACTGACAGCACATTTGATATCATAAAAAAACGTTACTAGAAATGTTCTATTTACAGAATACTGCTGCTTCCAGGTTTTATAACTGGCTTTTGTTTCATGATTGTCTTTGGCAGAATGTTGTTTTTATCAGAAACAGATGTTTATTCTCAAGCATGAGAAGTGAAGATACTTTCCTACCATAGGAAACACAGGACTTCATGTAAAGTGCAGAAGCTGGGAATTCAAGGAAGAAAGGGGTACCTAAAGACTAAGCCCATGCCACTTTCAGCTTTTCCAGATAGCAATAGCTAGCTGATGGCTCTTGCAGGAAAATCCTCAAACATGTAACTGATTCATATTACTACATGTAGAGCAGTATATCAAGAGTTAGTTCATAATAAAATTTACTTCAAAACATGTAGACAAAGCTAAGACTCCTTAACCATGAAATCTTATTATAACAGTGCCACTGCCTTCCTTGAGCAACAGCAGAACCAGGAAAGGACAGTTACAGTTCAGGTCTACTACTGCTAAGTAATCTACAATGGACACATACTTGGATATCATTCCTGCATCTCAAATAGCTTTACAAAGAAGGTAAATATTGGCCCCATTATACAAGTAGGGAAACTGAAGCAGAGAGGTGACATGATTTGCCATGGGATCCAGTACACCAGTGGCAGAGGTTAAACTAAGGAACAGAATCCAGGTCTCCTGAGTTCCTGTCCAATTGACAGTGCACTGTATTACACTGCCTTCATAGTAAGAGCCCACCTTACCCTACCCCAAAAATGCCTCTTGAGATATTACAGGGCTCTATTGGCCTCAATTATGTTTACTGGTTTACAGAGGTGTCTTCGGAATCTGTGTATAGGTGTGGCATCACTGAAATAGCAGAAACAAAAGATATATCTTTTAGAATGTTACAATGTAAATAAATTATGACAAGCAGTACCCACCATTTAATAGGTTTCTTAGGTGGTTATAAGTTACGTTACTTAGCCTTTGGAATCTTTAATCCTTAGTTGTTACAGCATATTGTTTAGCAAAACTACCAAAGCTGTATTTAGGGCCCATCTACCCTACAAATACAAGCTCCTGAACCACAACATATAGCACAGAGACATTCTAGCCACGTTCCCAACTAAACTAGATAACATGGTTTAAGGGTACAACTGTTCTATAGTCAGATTATCTTACTGGTTCTATTAGTAGTGTAAATAGGCCTCAAAGTCTTAAGGATCTGACAACTAAACAGAGGCAAGCAAGAAAACTCAAAGCTGATTTTTTTAAACCTTTTCTGCCTAGACATTGCAATATATCACCCACTGTTTAGAGGCTTTTGCAATTCATGTTTTGTTATCCAAGGCTTTGCATCTTAGATACAATTAGACATTTCCTTGCTTTTGAAGATTCATCAGACTAAATGTTATCTTAGTGTGCTTTCAGGGTCTAGTTTTGAAGAGATAAATAATCCAGTCACAGAAACAAAACACTGGCACCTAGCCTGTGGTCCCTGGCTGGAGTAGTACTTAATTGGTTCCATTCTTTCCTCTGAAAGAGGAGCATTAGCTGATCTATAAAATCCTGAAAATTCTGGGGTCTCTGCTGTGCTGAAGCTGTCAATATGGTGTCTTAAACAGCTGTTTGTTCATAGCCCCTGAATGTTAACCATCTTGAGGTTTGAGATTATGCTTTCTCGGGAAGAGCGATAGCGATGTAAACTCATTTCTCAAGTTGGTCTGACAACCACTGAGTGAAATGATGAGACAGCCCATCTCTTTTCCTCAGGCTTCTAAGGATGGGAGGCTTTGTGGGTGCAGCAAGTTTTGGAGGATGCGTTCTTTCATTTTATACAAGGAACATAAATGTACACACACCTGAATCGCATAGCTGAAAGCCTTTTAGAAATTTAGTAAGTGTGGTAAATAAAAGTTAAAGCTTACCACAGTTTGTTAGACCATTTTGAATACCACTTAGTAATAAGTTGTCGCAATAGACTGCCTTATTTACAGTATTTACTCACTAAAATATTGCTTTTAGGCTCATTGTACTCATCTGACAATTTTAGCCTTTTAATATGTTATGCTTAAAGTTAAACAAACTGTCAATTATCAGACACTTTAAAAAACTCATTAAAAATATAAATATTGAGAATTCAGTTGTCTTTAAAAAGACAGCCACCAAACCTCAGAACTCCTGGGGAGGAGAGGGGAAAAAAGGAAAATAGGGCACAAAGTGGAAATAATGACCTCCTTAATTACAAGATTGTTAGCGGCTGCTTGACTTATACATATTTCTACCTGTACATATGCAGAGACAAACCAAATCTTATTCATTCTGAGGAAAACGCCTTCATTTTTAATTTTTAATTTAGTTTTTAAAGTTTCTCTCTCTTGTGATAAAGGATTTGGCTGTGTGTTTCAATTCAGTATCCCTTATTCAAGTTGCCTTGTCAAAAGATGACAGCCCTGAGAACTCCATGAAACTCAATATTTAAGTATAAACGTAAGCTTATGCTCTCAAATAGAGAAATTCAGAGAGTCACCCTCTTAAAGTAAACTTTTATGATGTGGCCTTAAATCCAGTGTATCAATACTGCTGCTGAACAGGATGAAGAAAGACGACTGTTTACACTGAAACTCACCCTGAATTAGGATGATTAGTGGATGGTTGCACATATCAAAACCACCCTGAAAACAAACCGAACGCACTCTAAAAGCATTTCCAAACCGTATGCCAGACTTACGAGGTGAATTTAGGCCAATGCCAAGCTCTCATTTCTTTCCCCTTGTATAAATGCGACACAATCGAGCCGCACATGCAGGCCTCTCTCTCTCTCCATTTCAGGCAGGACCTTTGTTCCATTCGTTGATGTTTTTCCCCCAAAGCCCGTGACACGACTTTCCACTTTTCCCCCTATTATTTTCCGGTTCACAGTCTAGACTTTCAGACTCCCGATCCCTTAAAACACCCAACTACGGAGAAACCCGATGAGCCAGTGCATTAGGAGGCGGGGGGAGGGGGAACAATAAAAAAGTTGAACAGCAGGAAGATGGGCCTGCAGGTCTGGTAAAAGCCCCGGCATCGGTTTGTTTACCAGCCCCAGACAGCCAGGGCAGCAGCTAGGAAGGGATCGGCGTGAGTAGTGCGAGCACCCCCCCACACACAAAAATCTTCACGGCTCCCCAATACCCAGCCACTCTCACCGATACAGTATCACGGGACTAGCAGTAAGGGGGGTGACGGGGGAAGAGAGAATTTACGTGTGAGCATTATGCAAACAAACGGCAGGACCAAGGGACTGGTTACTTCACTGAAAGCAACAAAAATGAAGAGAGGAAAAAAAGAGAGGGGGGGAAATCAGCTCTGAACCGATGCGGGTAGAAATAATCCTCTCGTGGGTAGTCAGTATTGTAACTCGAATCAACACCCTCTCCCCTCGCCTGGGAAATATGGACGGCGGCTGATTATTTTGCCTTTTCTTTCTCCGACTGGGTTTTTGTTGCTTTTATAAAAAAGGTGACTCGATAGCGCCTTAAAAATAAGTATAACAACGACAACAGGGAAAGGGGGTTTATGGGGGGAGGCAAATACAAATCTGGTTCAGTAGCGTCAACCCTGACACTAGCCTTTTGTATTAGCAACTACCCAGGCTACAGAGCTAGTCGTAGCTGGTGCGGAGAAGAGTCCTCCACCTTGGGGCTCCAGGCTGTCGGGGGCATTGTGTGAGGTAGGGATTGGGGGCAGCTTCTCCCCCTCCCCCCCTTAATATTTTGGGGGTGGTGGGGGTGCATTGAAGTCAGCTTCCAGTGGCTGCTTGGCCATTTTGTCAGCTCCATTTCTACCACCTCCACCCCCTCATCCCTTCCTCAGTGAGGCCTCACCACCAGAATCCCATTATTAAACCCAGGGCCCTCTTCGCCCTTCCACCCCCTTGGCCTCTCCCGATCATTACACCTCCTCCCAGGCCCCAATACTCACTCCCCCACAAACAATGCCTGGGATGGCGCTTCTCCCCTCCCCCCTGCCCCGGGAAGGGCAGCTGAGCTCATACCGGGGGTGACACAACGGGCCTGACCAAGCCAGCCTAGGGCAGTTGAGGGGGCCCAGCGCCCCACTCACATCTTCAGTGCCTAGGAAAAGGGAGAGGAGCCCCATGTACCTAGTTTGTCCCGATGCGGCCTCCGCAGACGCTCCGTGCCACCCCAGCAGCAGCTTCCCTTCCCTTCAATTATCAGCTGAAGCCGCAGCACCGACCAGCGCGCCGTCCGCTTCCGCAGCCGAACCCCTTCCAGTGGCACAGGGGGAGGCTGGGGACTACTTTACCCCCCCCAACGGGGTCCGCAGCCCCTACCCGTCCCCCTTGCCTAAAGGCGCTCCCCCTGCCCGGCTGGCCGCCCCCCGCGAAGTCCGCGGACCGGCGGTTTGCTCGTCCTGCTTCCCTGCGCTTCCAGGCGTTTCTTGGCCTACCGAGCGGTATCCTTCCGCCGGGGTCGTCACCCCTGGGTCCATGGAAGTATTTCCCCTCAGGTCAGCGGGGCTGGAGGAACAGTTTTTACCAACTAAGGGGTGTATAGGACCCTCCTCGCCGCTGGGGCGAAGACCCCGCTGGGCTAGAGCGTTAATATCGACCCGGCTCCTTTAAGAGGGGGCTGGGCTCCCAGTGACCTCTCGTGATGCCCACCCCTTCCTGGTTGCCATAGTCACCTCTTGCCAGCGTCCCAAAATGGCGTCTCTACTGGAGGAGAACTTGTTTGAGACCCGCGCGCAGGCCCCAGCCCCCAGCAAGGACTTCTACCAGCTGATCGTCACCCAGAAGGAGGTGGGTGAACGAAGGAAGGAGGTCCTGCCTGTGGCCTCCGCCAGCGCCCCCATCCCACTGCCAGCTGCCCACCGGGCTGTTGCTGCTCCGGCTCGCACGCAGATGAGGCAACTCAACGGGCTGTCGGGGCAACCCGCAGCTTGGGGATGGTCCACGGATCTGTCACCGGTCGGGAATCCAGAGGGGGGCCTGGCAAAGGCCGTTGACTAGGAGTCGGGCAGGCGGGTGGGGAAACACCACCAAAGGTTGGTACGGAGGGCACGTAGGATTCCTAAGCGTCACTGAAACGTGCTTGTGAATGTATGGAAAAGCATTGCCTGGGGGAAAACTCGCTGACCAAGTATCCGGGGAGGTGGGGGGGGGGGTGTATCATCACTGAATGGGATCTGAGTAGTAGTGCACGTAAAGCATGTGAGATCTGAGGATCCACTACGCGTTGGAAAGTATCCCCAGTAAGAAATTCAGGGGTAAAATAGGAAAGTCACCAACTGAGTATGAAAAAGTGTTGCAGAGTGATGATTCAGTAACCTTGAAAACATTCCACAGTTGTATGAGATACTGTGACCCTGAAAAAAAATACAGAACAAATTAAGGGACCTTCAAAGACTGTCACAAATAAGTGATCCAGTGATTAGAGAAAACAACACAATGCTGAGAAAAGTCACAATGCTTTTCCTAAGGAAAAGCAAGTTTTAAAGGAGCTGGAACAAACAATTTACAGGCAAATCACTAGTTTTCCATTGAAATATCCTGCCAGGAAGGTGAAGTGAATAGCTAAGAAGAATTAATCTGCCTGTCCTGGGACAGGAAGCCAATACATTTTCATAATCTTACAGGATAATACATGTCAAGACACTTCTTTGGCAGGTTAGTTAGAATTTTATTTCTCTGGTAATGTCCAGGGGTGGTTCAGAAGAGTGTTCAAAATAATCCTGAGTGAGATTTTAAGTGTCTTATTGAAACGTACTGCAAAATCCTTTATCACAAGAGTAAGACTGATGCCCTTAAAACTGCTTTAAAATTAATCTCCAATAAGAGAGTCGCTCCAGCAAATGATGGGACTACTTTCCGCTTCTTTAAAGATGTACTTCAGGTTTGTTTCATGTTTACCCTAAATTTGACTAGGTTTGATCTTGAAAGTAAAGGTATTGCATGGAGAGAGCAGGTGCAAGATATGAATACTGAGCTCTGTCTCAGGTTGTGTGTATCAGTTTTAATGTTGTGAGATTTCAAAAATAATATGCTAAGTGAGATTTTAATGGTCTCATTAAAACACCTAGCCAAATTTCTTGTCACAAGAAGGAGATACTTTTTACATGTCATTAAAACTAATCCAAAACGACAAAGATGTCTTCCCTCCAATCGGGTGAGAGTCGTCAGGCCTGTAAAATAAGCAAACCAAAATTGAATCTATTACTCCAAAATGAATAGAATTCCAAGCTTTGATCTTTATGTCCCACATGCTTTTTTTTTATTAGTTTCCTTTTAAAAGTGCCACTATAAGTAATTGTTAGTTGTTTTTTTCCCCAATTAATATGAAAGTATACTAGTCAACAGTAGCAACAAAAATAGTTAAAATTTCAAAAGTTTCAGTTACTTCTTTCTGAAAAATTCTGTTTTGAGGCTGAAATTTCCACACTGGGTGTCTGACTAAGGTGATTTAAAAAAAATGTTCATTACATTCTGCTATTTTTAAAATATATACATATTGTTGCCCCGTTATGACATGAGCACTTTGGCAATATTTGGCCCCCGAGAGTTGTTTCAGTTGGGTAGAGAAATTGATGATGGAGTCAGGTATTTCTTTGATGTAATCTGTTTATTCATTAGGAATGTACAAATTCCTGTTTCTCTAAACACAGCAGGAATTAACCAGCAAGACAGTTACTTTGCTCACAATTCCAAGTCCCTTTCTACCCAGCACTTAGCACAAAAAGCGCTCTCTTGCTCACTCACTCTCGACTTTTTCTCAGGGCCATGCTCCAACTGCTTGTTCTGCTGTCTTCTTTTCTGTGTCTGTTTCTATGGTGTTTATCACTGCTTCCCTGTAACACACACCACTTGAGTCCAATCAAACCCTGCCCCAAGATCACAGAGGGACCTCCTGCCACATGGCTAAAACCTACTCCAGCCTTGGGTGTGGCTTTATTCTGGGCAAAGGCCCCTATCGTTTCATCCATCTATTCTATAAAGTAGCTCAATTGTTCTTTACATTTTTCCCAAAATGAAGGGCAGCTGTTAATATCCGGCAGTTTCAATGAGGTTTAACCCAACCCATAACAATATCTTATTTTAACCTCTATTTTTTTCACATAGATATCCTGAAAAGAACTTCAGGTAGATTTTTTTTTTTTAAAGGCAGTGGTTTGGTAATTCAAACTGAGGCCAGATCTTGTAAATATTTACCTGTCTGCATAACTTTAAGAATGTGAATAGCCCCATAGAAGTCAGTGGAACTACTATGTGTGCGTAAAAGTAGGAATGTTTACAGGATAAGAGCCTTAGCATAAAGTTAGTCCTCCTTGATGTATAGTTGCTTAGCATGCTTTGAAAAATTTTGTTTTGATTTCATGACTATTTTATTTATTTTATGACTATTTGAATGAACTATTTGAGCATCCAGAGCAGTGTGACAAAGTTCCTGCTCTACCTTGGTGGGTCATGCACTTATTGGCGAATTTGTTCACCTTAGAGCTTCACGGCAGCCCTCAGCTTGGCCGTTTTTCCTGAATTCACAGTCCAGGTCATCTCCTCCTGTGTCTGACCAGGAGTTGGGAGGATTTGGGGGGAACCCAGGCCTGCCCTTTACTCTGGGTTCCAGCCCAGGGCCCTGTGGAATACAGCTGTCTAGAGTGCCTCCTGGAACAGCTGTGCGACAGCTACAACTCCTGGGCTACTTCCCCATGGCCTCCTCCCAACACCTTCTTTATCCATAGGACCTTCCTCCTGGTGTCTGATAATGCTTGTATACCTCAGTCCTCCAACAGTCCACATTCTCACTCTCAGTTCCTCACAGGAACACCACAAACTGAAGTGAGCTCCTTTTTAAAACCCAGGTGCCCTGATTAGCCTGCCTTAATTGATTCTAGCAGCTTCTTGATTGGCTGCAGGTGTTCTAATCAGCCTGTCTTAATTGTCTCCAGAAGGTTCCTGATGGTTCTCGAACCTTCCCTGTTACGTTACCCAGGGAAAAGGGACCTACTTAGCCTGCTCTGCTGCCCTCTGGCCTGGGCTTTCCTTGCTTTTTGCCCCTGCTTTCAGCTTCCCCCCCAACTGGGCCAGACGCTCTCTCCCCTTTCTTTTCCTTTTGTTGTTTTTTTTCTCTTTCTCCGCTGTTGCTAGAGTGCTGGCCAGCTGCTGGCCGGCTGTAACCCCCCCCTCCCCCCGCCCGCCCTCGGATGCTGCTGCCACTCCAGCTGAAATCCTCCCCCGAGAGAGGGGGGGCCTGCCGGCCCACTTCCCCGGATGGGGGGAGTGGAAGGACCCAGACCCAGCCGCTTGCTGTTTGTCTGCGGACCCGTCTCAGGTTGAGAGGAATCTTATCACTTGCTCCGGCATTTCTGGAATGCAAAAAAGAAAACCCAGAACAGACAGAGAAACAGCAGTCTACCAGAGGAACACCGCCCGGGGAACTTACAAATCGCCGTGGACAGGGCCCAAGACTGAGTAACTTTCGAACTGTGCTCTCATGTGGGGGGAGGCCTTGACTATGTCGAGACTGTGTTCGTAGGGACACAGGGGGTGTGGCACGGAGCCGCCCCCCCGATCCATCTGTGTCCTCCCAACCCCCACGCTGCCATCTTCACAACTGCCTCCTCCACCGTCATTGCTGGCGGTTTAACATCTGCCTCTGGACTTAGCTGCTCGCCCTGATTCCACCGTGTGGGCCAGAAGCACAAGCCAACCAAACAGGACTCTCAGGACAAGCGTACGGTGGTTCATGTGCCCCCCCCCGAACTGCCCATCCCACAGCCTGTCCCTTTTTACCTGACCCCAACTCCTGTTAACCACCTGCCACCGCCCCCGCTGGGGCATCAGCAATGGAGGGCACCGGGGTGACCTCCGCCGCTGCCATGTCCACCGCCTCCCCAGACTCTAGGGGAGCCCCCACAGCCGGCGGGAAAGGCCAGGGCAAGAAGAAGGGGAAGGGCCCCGCTAAAACCACCAGGCCCTCTGTGGCAGGGGTCACCCCCACTGCTGCGGCCCTGCCACCAACCACGGCATCCCTCCCCACTGCTCCCTTTACCAGCTCTGCGGGTGTCCCTCCCTCAGCCCCCAGGATGTATGCCCGGGCGGCGGAAGCCCCCCCGCCTGCCTCCTCGTCATCTCTCCTGCCTACCGCCTCCGCCACCATCAACAGCGGCCGGGGCCCCTTCCCCACCATGACAGGGAAGCACGGTGTCCGATGCCTCCTGGTGCCCGCCTCGCCCCATGTGGAGACCTATGTGCGGGCATTGGCGAGGGTGGTGGGGCCCTCGGCCATTGTGGCGGCCTCCAAAATGTATGGGAAGGTCGTCTTCTTCTTAGCATCAGAGGCTGCCGCCCAGGAGGCAGTGGAGAGGGGCCTGGCGGTGGGAGGGATGTTTGTCCCCCTAGAGCCGCTAGAGGACCTGGGCGTCCGCCTGGTCCTGACCTCTGTCCCTCCTTTTCTCCTCAATGCTGCCCTGTTACCCGCCCTTTCCACCCTGGGGAAACCTGTTTCTGTCATCAGTCCTCTCCCGTTGGGCTGCAACGACTCCACCCTCCGTCACATCTTTTCCTTCCGCTGGCAAGTGCCGCTTCTACTGCCATCGGCGGCGCGTGACGGAGAGGCGCTCAAGGGGTCCTTCCTAGTCCCCCACCAGGGGGCCCGTTACCGGGTGTATTTCTCCACGGGGGAAGCCCGGTGCTACCTCTGCCAGATGTCAGGGCATGTCTGGAGGGACTGCCCCTTAGCCCGGCAAGGAGGGGCATCTGGGGTCCCCGAGACCCGGCAGGACATCGGCCCCGTCATTGCCGAC